ATATCAAATTTCAAAACTGATATTTTGCATTATTGGGTTAATACACTAGGTCTAACAAATTACGAAAATTGCGCATTTTTTTAGTAAATTAAAAAAATTTTCACGTGTTTCAAATCGCCTGGCTATAAATTCGTCACAGACCCAAATCCATTAAAAGCACCGCAGCAGTTTACTAGTAGAAATCCGAACTTATAATCGAATTTCGAACAAAATCAATAAACATCCCTTTTATGTATTCAAACGTATCTAATTTTGATTGGCTAATGATGTGTTGTTAATTAGTTTATTTAAATAATTGGGCTTTTACCAGCCATTACTCGAAAGTTCAACGCGTTACTACTTTTTGCAGGACCTTTTACTCCTCAAACCAAATGGACCAGCGTTTTATAAAACTGTGAGTTTAAAAAAAATCGGGTTTTTATCGGAAATGAGATAAAATAAAAAACGAATTCAAAGTGCCCGAAATGTTGCAATTTTCTCCAAAACAGTAAGAAGCTTGATAAATTCGGATTAAATGAAATATGTTGCATGCAAATGCGTCGCAAAAGATCCTTTCTTAACCATACCCCACAAGCAAGTTAGGATTTTTTGGTCAAGTGCCCAAGGAAGGTCACAGTGGGATTAAAATATTCCGATACCCAAGTATTAATCTGAAGAGAATCAGGAGGAAGATACAATAGAGCATGCATGGTTTAACAACTGGCTTTCCGTGTTGGCTCAATACTGGGGTTTTGGGGGGGAATTTATTTGGAGGTCTGAACGAATCTGGTAATAATTCAAGAGAGATCATCATTCTCAGAGGTACATCCAGGAGATCTTGGAACATAGCATATCTTTCATCGGATCTAATCGTGATTGCACATGCTTGCTATCAGTATCTATATGTAATATATTTTGCTCCCGCAGTCACCTTTTTAATTGATTTGGAACAAAATGCTTTAATATTTCATATAATATTTTTCGTTACTAATGGCGGTGCATACTGCTAAAAATTCAATGCTAAAATTAGCATTTTATTCCTCTGATTTTCCTAAAAGAGCAAATCAAAGTAAAAAAACTGAAATTCCTTCAGATGGTTCAACGTTTTTTAGCTCTTTGTCTCAAATAACTGTTGCTACAATCAAGTTGAGAGTCCATCCAAATTGGCTATAAACTTACCAAAAAGACGAGAATGTCAATTTTTCGAGATTGAGTGCAAATTAATTTTGCCATGATATCTTGTTTTCGCAAGTAAGAATTAAAATTAACGATAAGAATGAAAACTAAATTTGCTGTAAGTATTCTCTAAATATCCGCAGCTATTTTAGCATCATTCGGCAGGTATAGGTAATGTTGTTTCAAATCCACAACTTTTTCGATGTTAATAATTTAATAAATAAAATCACTTTCATTATAATATATGTTATGTTATGTTATGTTATAACACGAAATAGTTCGCGTATGAACTTTTGAAAAAACGGATCTCATTATTACACACAACAGGGTTATTAAGAGTTAACATCACCATTCGGAACGAGGTGTAGATGAATCTTTAGGGACAACAAAAAAAAATTATTTGCAGTTTCGCTCGCTTGATTCTGAGATATTTGCAAAAACCGAAACCTTTGCAAGTAGTTAACTTTATCATTTAGGCACAGGATTGATAGACTATAATTTACTTAAACTTAATCAAATACTTGAGGCTGCAATCACGAATGAAAGGTAACAAGTAAATGTAGAGCTTTATAGCATTTAGAGAAATGTGAACTTATAAGTTGTGAATGCGATTCTCTAAGATACTCAAGATTAATTTCTAAGTTTTCCTTTCTTTGGGTGTTCACTGTAAATAATTTTTCCACATTTTTGCTAAACAATATTGTGTTTCTTCTTTGCCTCTTATGTTTGATTTTACTTTTGTCCCTGCTTCCCGTTTATTTTTTTATTAATAACGCAATCATTTCGCAGCAAAATATAATGCTGTCCGAAGTATCAAAGGACATGGTTTACTAATTAATATCACCGTCACTACCAAATTACAACTTTTTTCAATAATTTTGAAAACTTAGATTAAAAAAAAACGGTGCACTTTTGAAATAGACCTTATATAAGCCGACCGTCAACCAACAATACACCGTCAGACGATTCTCATAAGCCAATTCGAACTAGGCATCTAGCTGTCTCTTTTCCTCATCATGGGCCGTAGCTGAGAAAAAAGATGTGATCTTGTTGGGGGTAATAAATGAATCCTCTAAAGCTTGATTGGATCAATGTGACAAATTTATAATGGCGGTGTTGACTGTTGACATTTGGCTGACGTTTATTTAGCAAACACAAACTATTTTGAGTATGTTATGCGAGGCACTTGCTAATTTATAATAATTTTAATGTAACATGGCAGTAATGGAAGGTTCTCTAAGTAAATGGACCAATGTTATGAAAGGATGGCAATACCGGTGGTTCGTGCTAGACGACAACTCTGGATTACTCTCCTATTATACGGTAAGTGCAATTGTTGCTCTCTGACTTCCGTAACCTACAAATGAAGAAGTCTCACAAATGGGGCTGTTTCTACACGATTTTATTTGCATGGGTGATACTGTTTCCGTACAATATTCACTTCACATGAATGTATAGTTTGTGGTAACTTAATGATGCACCGAAAATGCACCAAACCAACAAAAGAAAAATCACAAAATAAATATTAAAGTCCAAGCCAGATAACCCCAATTTAAAGTGTAAACAGGTTTGTGGCTTTAAATATTAGCCAAGAACATTGTTAACATATGTAGTTATAGGTCTTTTTTTGTCTTATCTCAGACATAGGTAGTACTTTTACAAGTTACAAGGTACATACATTTAATTAACTAGTCAAGTTGCCATTTGCACTGAAGCCAACAAAAATTGAAATAATTTCTTTATAGTACCTACTTATTCTAAACAAAACAAAAAAACAGAAACAAATAAATTTGCAACGATTTCAATTGAATTTTTTCAATTGATTGTTGTTTAACCCCGACTTTGCAGTCATTTAACAAACTGGATATCTGTATTGCATCCTATTGGTAAGCTAGTAAATTTAAGTTTTTCTGAAATGCAATTTATATCTTCATTGTCAATTTGTCACCAACAGTCCAGTTACGGTTAACATTGAAAATTTCTAGATATTGCTTATTTTAAACGCATTAACTTTTGGCGTACGCAACAAAAAAATAAATTTTGGGAATTAAAATTGGTCTCTATATACTTTTACTTTTACTAATTTTGTTAAAATATATCTCGGCGGAAAAAGTTAGTTATTTGTTTTTTGACTGTGAGAGAGATAAACACCTTCAAGGTAATTCATTGTGCATAAATCAATTACCTAAATCAAAAACACTTATTTCGTCTGACATTATTGACTATTTGAAGATAAAATACCGCATTTTATTCGAACTGGGAGTGCTTTTTTGTATCTTAGCTGTAATGAAAACAGTGCAAGTCTAGGAAAAATTCACTTTTGCCAATTATAATAGCTTATGTAATTAATTATTTATTTAAGGTGATTAACATGCTTTCAATCCACGAGAAAAAAATCATACTTAGAAAAACTAATACTCAGGCGCAGCTGAGTGTTATGTAAATGTTGCATTTTATTCGACTGAATAACGACGGTTAATGTGATTCAATGATATGGGACTGAATGGAAAATTATTGTTTATTAAATACGGGAATTGAAAACTAGAAAGTTTTGGATTTTTTTTATTTGTTATTGGTTCTAAACCACTTTGTTAAACCTTCCGAGCATGATATTCACCGAGTGCAGCATATTTGCAGCATAACAGCACGGATAATTTGCCTCAAACATGAGTTAAACGCCTTCTCATTTTTATTTAATGGATGAATAATGTTTCGTAAACGTACTTAGTTTATATGGTTGTTCACTATGTCGAGCATGTACCAAAGCGATGGATACATTTTTAATTGATGACGTCGGACAAACGAGTGCAATATGGATGTTTTTTCATATACAGAATGTCTCTTAAACATTCGATAATGATTCGCCTGAGAAGTCAGCAAATCAAAAATAACATTAATGATAGAAATATCATGGTTTCGAATGGTGGATGAAAAATCGATGGTTGTAAAATATTTTAGTTTGGGTTTGGGCAATAGTCGTTATTAATCAAAGTATTTTTTGAGATGTTTGCTTTAGATAAACAAAAAACACTTTATTTGAGTACAAATTCGAGTTTTCCGTTTTCACTATTATGTAAATTTTGCTGCCTTCTGTTCCAAATGATAGATCTTGATTTTCATAAGCACAAAACTGATGAATGTTAAATTCCTTAAACAGTAGGTAAATATATTTTTTTCTCAATTAACTGAAACAACTATAATTTTTTCACCATTAACTACAAAAGTTGACATCGAAAGAGTGGCCCAAAATTAACGCAAGGTCTGAATTAATTTATTATTCGCATCCATTATTTGTTACCTATGAGTTGTATCTGAACTTCAATCAAATAATTCTTAGTCAACTAAATATTTGCCGAGTTTTTTTTACGTTATATGTACTTAATTTATTAGTTTTATATCTTCTTATACTCTTCTCTTCATAGTGAGCAGGAATGATCTATTTAACATGCTTGTTTAATTCTCATTACGCGTTTACCTTCGAAAAACTTGTAACTAAGCCCATAATGTACGCATGTAGTTTTATAAACGTCGAAGTTTTGTAAGGAGTTTTTCGTACATGTCACCAGCAGCTATTTTAGCTATTTAAATTGTTTATGCTTGATAGGTACAATGTTCATACATGAAAAATTCCGATAAGGTTGTATCGTACATTTTTACGGCTCATTGCTTTTTAGAAGGGATAAAGAGAAAATTATTCTACAGCTGAAGCAATAATCTAGATTATATATGGAAACAAATCCAAACGTAAATCTTTTTACAAAAAGAATACGTTGTGAGTTATATCGTTTAGAATTAATGGCTGTAAACCCCTTGTACAATGAATATATCGTCAAATTAACTAAGTAAATAAAGTAGAATCTGAGAGTTTAAAAAGTTCAAATTTATGCAGAAAAAAGTGTGGATTTGAATAATAATTGCACTAATTCGATTCCTGATTATTCAGATGAGCGAGTGTTTTTTTCTAATGTGAATATGTATTCTGTCAAATCGACTATTGAAATAAGTTAATTAACAGTAATTAAAAAATTACACATAGGACGTAACGTAGCACTCTAGTATGAATAGTATGATAATGAAATTAATTGAGATATATATAATTTTGCAGGTTACAGACAAGTGGATATTTTAAATTACTGAGTACTTGCGTTTTGTATAATTGTGAAAATGTAATGTCATGAACAATATAGGCGTAAATAAAGGGTAATTTATAAGGTTACAAGCAATCACCCATTCGACTTGCTGTCTGCTAATGAATAAGTTCTTTAACATACAATTTAAACACGTTTTTAATTTCGGATGCATTAAAATAATTGAAATTGGAAAAAAGAATAGCGATCTCGGAAATGTGTACAAAATGATATGCTAATTTCAAATAAAACGATGTTTTTGCAACCTCAAATGCAAAGTTGAGATGTTATTAGAATCGCAGACGATCAATCGACGCAGTTACTAAACATTTCTACCTGGATAAATATAAGGGTTTAATGTATGTATGTAATGTATAGAACAGAATACAATAGAACGATTCTTACTGTTGGCCATGGATTCTCCATTAGAAATAAATCGGCTACTCTTGGATCTAAAGTATAAATGCGCCAAACAAAAAATGTATAAAATGTATATTTTTTAGAATCTGGGAACTTTTCATTGATTAGAATATTTTAGAATCACACATCATTGTATGATGTCATGTCATCATATCAAAGATATCATAAGATTTTGTATAAAAGCATATTTCCGGACTAAGTTTACCTTCATTCAAGTTCCGTGGATAAAGTGATTAAAACGATAATAGCTTTAGCTATTTAAATCTTCACTGATGATTGCTTAAAAATAAATTTGACTAGCTAAACTTAATTCCATTGCAGTTACATTCGCTCAGTGTAATTTACAGGGCTGCCAAGACTTGTGTGTAAACAAATTGCAATGTACAATATTTACTCATTGTAAATTATCAATTTATAGGAAAATCCATTCGAAAAATGGCAGATTAATAATTGTTATTTAATAAAAATTCATTACGTTGGACCAAAAACTAGCCTCCTATTCTTTGGATGTGGTCGTTAATGTAGTGAGCTACTGTTAATGTTATGTTGGCCATTTTTATAAATGTATCACTATCTGCACTTAGAAATAAATTATTTAATATGCTTATTACGAAAGTAGTATAATATTTCGATAAACTATATTAGTGATCAAGCTAAGCTGCACAACTAACACGAAACCATCCTCTAAGAGAGCTTTTATTAGGAAAGTATAGTATTTATATATATATATATATACTCCTGTACATTTTTCTATAATGCAAATGAAGCATATAAATTATTAATATTAACGCACATTACAAAACTGCGCTTTTATTTTGAAAAATTAAACTTTCGTATGTTCGGGGTGGGAGAGTTGAATTCATGGAGTTGGTTGTAATTGATCACTAGGTAGTGGTAAGGTGCAGCCCTTTTAGACTTGAATATTAATCTGGTGGATATTGTATATTTTACTTGTATTAGACGTAAATTAATAATCTAGAAATGGTTCCAGTTTAGTCTTTAAATATTTCCTTGTTTGGCAAACATTACTTCTAATTGTTTTTTTAATGTTTGTTTCAGTTTATTCATTTATCTCAGTATTGAGCTGAGCTTTTAATGTCTTCCAAATTATTCATCATTCCATTATTCACCAATCACTGATTCCTCGCAAGATAACATGCGAGATTAATGGTAGTCCTTGAATGAATATTAAAATTTAGTTAGCCATATCCAATGTTTTGCAGAAACAGTCCCAAAAGTATATCTGAATTACAAGAGAAATCGAGCTGAAGTGGAGCTAGCAACTACATTTATGTTACAGCGTAAAGAAGTCACCGTTTTTTATATGAATATTTTTGTTTCAGTCAAAAGAAAAAATGATGCGAGGAGTTCGAAGGGGATGTGTTCGATTAAAAGGTGCTATAATAGGAATCGATGATGAAGATGACAGCACTTTCACCATTACAGTCGATCACAAAACATTTCATTTTCAAGCAAGGGATGCCGAAGAACGGCATAAATGGGTGCAAGCGTTGGAAGACACGATTATTAGACATGCCAGTCGAGTAGGTGTCCTTAATTTCACTGTTTAAGACACAAGTTTGTATATTTATCATTGTTTCTGCTACTTGCCGTTGAGATATATATAAACATATCATGGCAATATAGTTTTTGCACCGCTAATTCATAAAACTAAATGAAAAAATATATAAAACTAAATGAATATAACATTTTAGTCTCCTCACATATCAAAACATTTTCAAACAAAAATCATTTATAGGTGGATATTCTAATTTTCAGAATTTTTATTTTTAAGTTGATAGATTTTAATAGGTCAAAAAAAGTAATTAAATGGTAATGTTTTTTTTTCAGACAAAGTGGGATTCATTTCATGTGTCGCCTACAATTAAGGATCTGGATAATAAAGTTTCGGAAGCTGATGCATATCTACAACTTATGATTGAACAAACTAAGGTTAGCAATATACTTAGTTTCGCAATAAATATAAGTTTTAGTTTTGTGTATTTTGTGGAAAGATTAATAGATTGAACGATTAATCCAAGCACCTCGGCTTTCAGCAATTATCGCGTTCGCCAATAAACTCAACACCAATTATATTTATTTTTTCCAGCAATTGGAAGAGAGAATAATTTCATTCACCGACCTTGATGAAAAGACGAAATGCGAGACAATCTTGGAGCATGCAAATGTAAGTTTTATAAATTATCTTTTTACCAACCCAATTACTCTGTTTTATTTCACGAACCATAATTGACATACAATTGAAAACTTTTTTGTGTCCGATAATTCTAAATAAACGGGATTTTTTTCCGATCTTTGAGGGATCTTTTGATACGTTTGTACGATGATGATACGGTTGATGCGATTGTACTCCGGAGGCGTACCCCCGGAAAAAGGTTTTGAAAATAATAAGATAAAAGCTTACAAAAATCCTAAAATGCTATAATTCATTAGCAATGACGATATTATATATTTATATTGTGAGAATATATTTTTACAGGTAATGCTGGATAACATCAAGCATTCCATAGTCCTGCTTCAAATTGCAAAGGTTAGTTTCTATTGTAAATGTAGTTTTTCCTTTATTTTTTAAAACTAATCAGTTGCCTTTGTTTTAATTACTTAACCATATTTTATTTTGAAAGATTTTGTTAAACTGACAACTTGACTAATAATATCGAACAGTATTATGGACAGGCAAACTTGCAAAAGTGTAACAATAATTACACAAAGACGAAAGCCTGGTAAATAGTAAATATTGAAAATAAATTGGGTAAAAATTATATGGTGTTACTGAAAGTAACAAATGATTCAGATCTGTATCAAAATGCATTTGAAAACTACAATAAAATGGTACAATTTTTTAAACTTAAATTTATTTTGGCACATTAGATCAAAAAACGCTCAAACAAGTTGTTTTTCATTTGATTGTTGACATTATATCAATCGTAGTTTGATAATGCGAGTAGAAATTGGCCTGATTTATATTACGGTGAAAGAGTTATCCTAAAGTAATGAACATGTGTTAAAAAAATTAAAATAATGACTTAAATACCGACAGCGTGTAACCGACGTTTTTGCACTCTTGCAAAATACGCAATTTTTTAGCAAGAATTACAAATAGAATATTTTCTAACCTACTAAAATACTTCTCCGAATTTACTCAGTTCTAGACCTTAGTTGAATAAAAATGAGAATATTTTTTTATATAAATGATTAATTTGGGGTAACTATTATTATTTTAGAATACCGCACATCCCATCAATGGTATTTACCATCCAATACCCGGAAAATCAAACAGTGTCTCTTCGATTCATGATGGTATGTTCATATTATATCCTTTGGGTAAGATGAGAAAGTGAGCCATAATGCTATAGAGTAGGTAAACTGTTTAATTTAAATTTTATGAGAAGCATCCTAAATTTGTTTATCGTGTTTTAAATTAGGTCGACAGATCATACGTATAGTTACATTTTATGAAATATGTATATTGCATAATTATAATGACGATTCAGACGAGTATATATACCAGTATTTTCCCAGATATTTTTTCTAAGTAGCGATCTCGTATTTCCATTTTTAGATGTGGTTCCTGGGGAAGCTGTTATTCAACAAGGAATCGAACTGGGTTCTGAATGCATGGAAGATGGACGGAGAAAAATTAGAACAATACGTAAG